AATTAATCGAAAACGTTCGTTCACCTATCTTGACTTCTTGAATGCTTAAATGAATCTATCTCTGCAGCACCAATAACACGTGGAATTTACGGTTGCTACACAGTGGTCGTTTGCGACGGTCTTACTGCGACATCAACAATATGCGCGTATTACTGTAGGGGTGTGTGCAGTTAACCAACCCCAAACCCGGAAGATTCAAAATCCCTCGGCTTGGAAAACACACAAGGCAAACACGAGAAGTCGCAAAAAACAAAGCCTACAATATGCAGCGTGATGGAACAAGACTTTCCGCCGCAACATGCGTGCATGCGTGTGCGCTTGTTTACGAAGAAATACGGTGAGGGCTGGTGCATGCGAACTGATACTACTGCTTAGCCCATCGTCAAACAGTTAATTCCTATCCAAGTCAGTGGAGGATGCGACTGCTCTGAGTACGGAAAGGCATTATTGTCATCGTGGGCCTCTGCTGCTTACTCCTTCTATTACAGCTGAAACCAGATGCCCGAGTGAAGGAGTTCTCCCTGCCCAGCCCCCATCTTAGGACATTTTGCGAAAACATCAACGACGACACTCGGCCCATGCCCAAATATCAGAAACTGCTGTCCGAAGAAACGGATCTCTTCTTCGCCAGTATAAATTCCTCTTTGCATGGACACTGTCGACGCTTCAGGTGGGCATTCCTGCATCCGGTACAGTCGCCGTATGCTGCGCAGGAAGCCGCCTATCCTCTGGCCTTCACCATAGTCGCTCACAGAAATGTCCGTCAGTTGGCGCGTCTGCTGCGCATGATTCATCTTCCCGCCAACTTCTACTGCATCCACATTGACCGTCGCAGCTCACCTGTGTTTAGTCAAGCTGTGGAAGGAATTGCTACCTGCTTCGGATCCAGTGTACACGTAGTGCCCCCGGAGTCCCGAGTGACGGTAAGATGGGGCGGAGCCAGTATACTCAAATCAAAGCTTGTGTGCGCAGAAATGACCTTGAAACAGCCTGGTTGGCGGTACCTGCTTAATCTGGCAGGAGAGGAGGTGCCCCTTCGCACGAATCTAGAACTGATCGCGGCAATGCAAGCACTGCACGGATCTAACCTAGTGGAAAGTGTAAGGTTAGGAAGCTACATCTATCGAGCTAGAGGTGTTAAATTACCCAACCAGGTAGGTGTTTTGCTCACGGTTGGACTTCTTTCCACATTTTTTTAGCGGAACATGCTGGAATAACTATTGAGGGTAGAATATCAGTAATTGCTGTCACACATATTGTCCGTACAATCAGAATATGATTATAAGATAAATAATTGTTTAAGTTTGAGAATTTTCATTCGTGGAATTTCCTTAAGTTATCTTCTTGTTAATCCCTTATTCTATTTTCAGAATAAAGTCGATGACTATATAATGTTTTACGGAAGGCTGTTTGGAAGGAACTAGAATTTCTAGTCTGTTTTGGTTAGCAGACTATTCTGCGGAGCGTTTGTTTGCCGACTTATTAACAGTGGTTCTATGAGTGGATGAATATCCCAGCAGTGCGCTTCTATCGTTCGTTTTTTATCCGCTTAGAAAGCGGACTTTTTCCTCTCGTTTCTTTCGTAGTACGTTATTTTTGTATTTTCGTTGTGCTGGAAGGGATCCTTTTTATTTATTATGTGTGGTAGTTGGCGGACGCATGCAGACTTTCGATAAATTCTTGTGGGACAAGTAACTTTATAGTGAAACTCCTTCTACAACTGAGTCGTGAAAATAGGGAAAAGCGGGTCGAAAATAGAAGGCCGTTTATGAGAGCATCGTTGGTGGAGCCGGATTAGGGAAGGCAGGAGGGAGACTAACAGACCGCAGACGAGTGAATGCTGCCAGGTGACTCTGGACCACGCTACACGCGAAGGCACGAGTACGTTCTTTTTTGCACACATAGCCAGCCTCCCCCGTCCGATAGCGGTCTGTTAAGCTGTTTCTAGCAGGCGCTGACTCAGGGACTATGGATAATTTGGAAGGACCTTTTATATTTCTCAGAAGGTTTCATTGGGGTCCACACGATGCCCATAGCATGTGCATGCGCAAGCATAGATTTTTTTATGTTATTAACCTTACCTTTTATCAGCCAAGACGGTAGGGTGCAAGTAAAGAAGTAGATGCAGATGGAGGTGGTCTGAGCTGGCAACCTATCCTTACCTTTCCAATATAAGATTAGTTTTATCGAGAAGAGTACCAAAACTCTCAATTCTGGCAAGGTTTTTTCAGGAGTTCATTTGCCGCGTCCCCTACAAAGGGGAATTTTAGGAATAATATTTTCTCTTCCACGGTCAGTGTGGTTGTTCTTATTTGCCCTTCAACTCCTTTATGGACTGTTTCAGTTCCATCTCAATAAGGTCCGTCAATAAAATTGTCTTGGTCGTTTGCACTAGTTACCGAAGGGGTTTTCACTTCTTTTGAAAGGGAAATACACTGTTAAAGTGCGCTCATTTTCCGGACCAGTTTATCTTTTAATAAACGCTACTTTGGGCGTTATCGAATCTGCCGTTTCCACCACCAACGTAAAATTAATGGACATCTGCGCTTGGGTGACAGCATTCAAGAGTTTGTATACATCGGATCTGTCAACTTTATACATATGTCTGTGAAACGGGCAGACGCTTTGGCACAATGTTGCATGAGCATCAGCTCGCAAATAACCGCAAGAATGAGCTGTACTTAGTCTATAACCACGTATAGCAAAAAGATACACACATTCGCCTCTGAAAAAGCAAGGTTAATAGGCCGAGCCGACGACAAGATGGCCAGATTGCTGCTTGAAAGTTGGTCCTCGACTGGCTGAGTAAACAGAGCCATGGACCTTCATCCCGCCTACCAAGCGCTCCGCAAAAAGCTAACATCGGCTCAGAAAGGAGAAATAGGTCGGGCGGAGAGAATTTAGCAGGACCGACAGCCAGCAGATTCGAGCAAAGAGGGTGGAATCACTCACGAGACTCAAACACGGCTTGGGACAGCTCAAAAATACGCTCGTGAGGACGCGAGCAGTTCAAACAGCCTCGAAAATCCATCGGTGCAATCGATTGGCACATTTGCATCAAGCAAGGCGAATGGTCGTTCGCATTTATCTGACGCGAACAGAGATACAGACATCACGCACTGACGATGGAAGTGAGCGACCTTTTGAAACGTCAGCCGAAGATACAAGTTGGTCCCACAACTTGTATCTTCTTCTTCCTCTTCGGGTAGATGATGTAAGCGATATTCTGTCTGGACCCCGATTTTTTTCGCATATTAACAAGGGAGAGTGGAATGGCCATTTCGGGCTTATGAGCCGTCGTCAGCCAGTCACATCCAACCCCAGAGGGTGCACCACTCGATGAACAGTGATTATAGGATTTGCCAATACAAGCGAACATCCGTGTCCCAGGAAGCAATTGAGAAGAAGAAGACTCGATGGGTGGGACAATATGTTTATTCGCCTGACGTTTAGAGATCCGTCGCGGATTCGTCATCAGAGACATGAGTAGCAGAAAGGTTAAGC